ATTTGAATTGCAACTTGTAAAAGCACAGCAAATAAAGTAAATAAATGAATGTTACATTTTTCTACTGAATAGGTTGCAATTGTGCAAAAGAAAGATATATGAATGTGTGAGAGCAATAGGAGGAGATGGAGGTGGTGATGTTGGGGAGCCAACCTCTGGTTTTGCATACTTGCCATTATCTTTATTACACATTACATATGCCAATACCACAGCATGTCCAACTGCCTCCTCACCTGCCACACTGTTCACCTGACTCACCTGGCCTCCAGTGTGGCCTGGGTGGGTGTGAACATCAAACAGATTTTTTTTAAACTGCTGCTCTTCACAAATCATTAATCATCACCAGGACTACCATCAGTCAAATACATAAACAAATGATTGTGTTAACTTTTGTGGCATCAGCTAATATATGTCTATATATATCACACAGTTCAGTTCTTCTACCATATATAGGACATCAGGGGAGTGTAGGTTTATCACTTAACACACACACCCCACTACACACGCACCTTTTTGTCTAGGCGTTTGGGGAATTCCCGATAACCCGCATGTGTACAGGTGATTTGCGTATGTTCACTAATCTAGGGAGTTTGGTTATAACTGTAAACCCACTACACCTGGACATAGATGCACACATCCACAAACACACACCTAGCACCTTACCAAACTGATGACCATGTTGATAAGCCCAACAAAAATTTTTTTTAGGTGCATCACCACTTCACACACTAATGGTCAGCAATGTTTGTATGTGGAGTAACGAGTCAGGATTTCAATTCACCTGCCATTCTGTGACCGTTAAATGTCACATGCATCAAATCTCTCTCACTCTCTTTTGCACACACATTGAGACTGTTAGTTGTGATTGTCAACATAAGAAACATTCACACTAGAAATGACTGTAGCAAAATAGCAGTGGTAACTTTTCAATGGTCAAGCAATTAATATAAGGAATTAATGCAGGATGTACTGTACTGTAGTATGCACTAGCTGTTGTGTCACCTCATTCATGGCAGTGCTTCATGTGTTAAATATAGAGCATGATGTTATATCTTTGGCATTTGGTTGAACCCAATTTCCACAGACATGCAGAAAATTGGGCTCCGATTCAAAGTCTCACCCTACCCTGTGTAAATCCCTTCAACACCTTGAGTTTATTTTTAGATGCTAATTCTTATTTTTAGCTCAAACTTCCCCACTTATTCTTAAAATAGATGATTGACAGAATTCTCTAGTTCCTAAAATTCAGATCAGATCAGTCTATTACCTGCAGCCTTGGTAAAGTGAAAGTTTGCAGGTTACACCTGCCTTGCTCTGTGTTTTTCTGACTACAAGGGTCCAGTGTCTCTCTGGCCTTATCAACATGTCTGGATCCAGGTGCAGGCTGAGTTATTGAAATCCTAACCGTCAGCCTTTTCACCGAAGGCTGAGGGTGTTTCCGAACACGTTTATCAAGTCTTGTTATAAAGCTCTTGAGAAGTGGCTGTATGTTTTGACAACTGATAAATTTTGTTATGTTTTGTCTTGTTTTTAGGTGCCTTTGATTTGCTTCTCGGAGGTCCCTATGGTGTTTTGTTGTTTGCTCTCTAATGCTGCTGGAACACTGGAATTTCCCCACTGTGGGATCAATAAAGTCCTACCCTACCCCCTTACCCTAAATTCTACTACTGCTCCTTCAACCACTGCTGTTACTGTACTGCAGTGTCTACTTTACTAGTAGAAAAACTGCTAATACTAATGCCACAAGTGTTACTGTAACTACTATTACCACTACTACTATTGGTATTGCATTTACCACTGCCACTACTGTATCTTTGAGACTCTCCCTCTGCCATCCACTACACTTCAGCCATTGCTGCCACCACTGTTTTAATTGTGTTAGCCTATGCATTGTTATGGATAGACATGGGATTCTCTCCCAGATTTTTGCCCTGACCTTAATAATATAGTTCACCACTTTGGGGACTATGCTGATTCACTTTCTTGCTGAGAGCTGGATGAGAAGATTAATACCATTTCATCATGTACAGTAAATTTGAAGCCACCATGAGCAGTCAATTAGCCTAGCTTGGCACAAAAACCTGGAGTGTTATTGTAAGAGAGAGAGGTGTGTGGGCGTGTGTGTGTATTGGATCAAGATACATTTCATTATCTTCTCATAAAGGGCCCTTTATAACTTATACAAGTTTGCATGTTTAATCACTGTACTGCAATACTCCTACTTCATGGGATCCACTGTTGTGGTGCAGCTACTTTTTCCACTGCTATTGTGGTTGTTATTATATTTTGTATTGGTATTGGAAGTTAAGTAGTAGTATTTCTAATGGTATGGGTATGCTACTACATTGGAATTTGGACTTATAGTGGAAATGGAACTGGTTTTATTTAGCTATAATATGGTTGAGGCAAAGACAAATTTCAAAATAAATGATGTTTTGACATCTTTAGATGTAAAAGATAATAAAACTGTGTGTATGTGTGTGTGTGTGTGTGTTTGCATCAGAATCCTGACAGCAGAGGCTAATAAAACAGAATTATGATACATTTTGTGGAGTAGGTGGAGGATGATAATGTCTACCTTACTAGGAATTATTATTTTTTATAACTTTCTCAGAATATGCAAATTTTAGGTACCTTAATTCTGTCTTACCATGTCATAAAGATTGCGGCCTAAACTACAGTTTGATTTGTTTTCTTATTGCTTTGATTACATTTGGCATCCTGAGGGTTAAAAAAGAAGTATGACATCTTGATCATCAAGTATGAGCAACTCTCCTGATGCTTCTCTGAAACTATTTCTCCTTCTTGCTGAACTGGTTTCCCTGAGTGCCAAGATTTCACTTTTAAGAGCACAACCTGTAAAAATCACATGAACAAACAGCTGGTGCAAACAAATCAGTAGATTCGTCAATCAAACCAGAATAAAAAATACTAGTAAAATAAATAAAGACTGCAATATTCCAGATGGTTTGCTTTGCCTGTCACTGTAGGGACAGTCACTGGCACTACTGATTTTCTCACGTAAGTCTGATGAAACTTAATAATTATTATTATTATTTTTTACATTTTCCTAAAGTCAGGAAACTAACCAAGTAACTGCTGATAGAATATCATCACCCGCCATGATCCTCCATTATTTCTTGTGTCGAGGCCCATAGTAATATTTCAATGTGATGAATTTCTGCACTAAACTTTGACAAGCTATAAAGTTACTGATGCCATTTACTGACTTCTTATCATGTTGGACTGATAGCTCAGGAATAAAGCACATGGTGTAAATACCTGCTCTCTCTCCTGCAACATACAGTATACTTCATTGGTTCAAGGAGGTCACAGGCTACTGGCACTACTTTTGGATTTATTACGGCGCTGCTTATCAGGCCATAAATACCTGTGTCAACTACATTTTTTTTATTGTTGCTGTTTTGTTTTATTTCTTGAGGTTACATGTACATCAGTCAGCGTCATCACAGTATGCACTGCAAAGAAACACTGTGAACAGGTCATGACCTCGTGACAGCACTAACACATATACTCTTATGACATTTTCTTCCACTTTTATAAAACATTTTTCAGTTGAACTGTCTTGTAGGAAAGTGACACTTCTAGCCATCAGCGTTTATAATTTTAATGACAATAACATACACTTTCATCTGGAAAAAAGCATGTTTAAAACAGCTTTTCAGTTGCCACAGACAAAGTGTCATCTCCAAGCTTTGAATCCAGTTCTGTTGATTTTGTATGAAGGGTTACTTTGTTTTGAGCACAAAGGCACTGAACTGTAGAAATTTCAGAACTGGATTACTGTCTCATTTAACTCCAAAACTTTATGCTTATTGGTTGTGCTTTGACATACAGTCATCAGGTCAAATCTATTTTATTTATATAGCCCAATATTTCCCTCAAGAGGCTTTATGATCTACACACCACAGGGCACTCTCTACTATTAGATCCATGACCACATATAATATACAGTCTAATAACTCTGTTTAAAGTGCTAGTTCACTAGCAGTGATACACTACAGTATCACTGCTAGTTCACTGTTACAGTCTCTTAAACCTAGAAGGGTTTAGGGAAGTCCCTCAGCAACACACACCCTGCAAAAAAGACATGTGTTGCCAGTAGTGTACTGGAATCTACGTCTATAATAATAACACACGTAACAAGAACAAAAAGGAACAATCTCATTTGTGAGACACACTGCATGATGCGGCAACGGCTAACTATTAATGCTGTCACATTTTCCTAACCTGGGGTGTGATTAAATACCTGATAGTTTGCTTCCCCACAGTCATTTATGATGAACAATGACATTTTATGTACCAACACTCAGTGTAATTAGAAAGGTTATTTAACACATACATAGTATCAGAGTTTATGTTCACAGAACTGAATTTTCAAAGGTAGTAGATTATCTATGATGATTAATAAGCCTGTATAATAATAATAATAATATTTAATAA